GCGAAGAAGGCGCTACAAGTTAAATATGTAGAATACCTGACGTAACTCGTTAGAACCTATTTGTAACGATCGGCGAGTCCCTTTAAGTGAAAATATGGTGAGAAATTTATCACTAGCAGTGCGCATATTTTCGTTTTAACGTCAGCATAATTTGCGGACACTGCTGAACTCTTTTATGGGACTCGACATGACAGAAAATGAAAATTAGTCGGTATTGAATGGATAATCTACGTGAAGTAATACCAAATAATATAATCTGCCATCTTTGAATGACATTATCATTTTATTCTCCACCGTTTACCATGGAAGCGATTAAAAGACTTAGAAATTCTGTCCAGAACAGAACTCATGACCGTGAAATGGTATACGGGCCAGGATGGGAAACTAGCCAAGTCATTAGCATCTGTAACTAATATAACGTACTCCAACTACTAACATGATGTCCTTGGAGAAATTACCAAGTATTTTCCCAAAATGAGGCCGAGCAAGGCAAGGGTGTCTAAAGGTACATCATCTTATGTCATCAAATCGTGTGATTGTGAATTCATTCTCACTATCATGACGTATTTGTAAGCTTAGTGGGCTAATAATAGAAGCTCCTGGAGCGAGAATGGGATGGATTCAAAAATGAGGGATAATATAATACATGTGGGCACGGTGCGAGAACGAACGGTTGCCTATCCGTTGGATGTTATAAGCCATTTAAATGGCTTATTGCCATTAGTTTAACAGATATGGAATGAACATGATAAATAGAATAAAAGTGCAACTAAATCTGTCAGATTCCGTAACAAACAATGTGTCCCCCTCATCTTGCTTACGCGTCTTCAACAGTCAAAATATAGATAAATAAAGCGCAAAGGCAAAGAAACTGTAGAATCGTTAAGAAACCGTGGAGTAAATAGAAAATAATATGAATGATAATGTTGTTCAACCGTCGCAGACGAACGAGAAGAGAGTGTAACGTTACGCTCTGTTCTCGTTCGTCTGCGACGGTTGAACAACATTATCATTCACGTCACGTGGACTATCCATAGCGCTATGGATTCTTTAGTTTTACATAGAAAAAATACTGAAGCAAACATTTTTTACTGTAAACGTCACATCCCTTATAATATTCTGATAATAAATAAGGGGGTTAAAGGTCAAAAAGTCGACCGTTAAATATCTACGATAGTACATATGCCTTCAACGCAAAACACCAACACATCAAGCACCACCCAAAAACCATATAAAAAAGGACGATTAGAAACTAAAACAATGTAAAAATAGATAGTTTACTTAGTTTCTGTGCATTGCACAGAAGAATAGTACCGAATTTAGGTCAATGGTCTCATTTAAATGGATCACGAGTATGTAAAGCTCACTTCAGTTGTCACTACATACTTACGTTAGCCGTCAATACCTCGCTATATTTCAGTTCATT